TAAATGGGCCCTATGAACTACTTTGAATTGTAATAGGACGTGGCGATCACAGAGTGACGTGGAATTTACCAGAGTGAGCACTGAATCCCAAACGTCATCTGACATAGATATGGCAGTCTGGATTTTAAATGAAATCATTCATTTATCGTTACTGTGAAGCACAAATGTAAAGAGGCAGGATATCTGCAGCACTCTCTGATTTCCTGTGTCGTCTGACAGGTGGTACCCGCATCAGCCAGGTGGTGTCAGGGGCGCACGAAGGCGGCATTTTCTCAGTGTGTGTTCTCAAGGACGGCACCATGGTGTCTGGAGGGGGGAAAGACCGCAAGGTGGTGCTGTGGGACCACGATTACAGAAAAAAGGCAACGATGGAGGTGAGCGAATTCTCCTCTGAGGGGAAATCGGAGGTCGTGACATTTCTGTGGAACCCACTTAAATATTATTTGAAACTTTTCTCAGTGTAGCGATTAAACTGTCAGTGGGTGTCTCTTGTGTTGCAAGTAAATAACTCCAAAAAAAGTTTTATTACTTAATGTTTTGAATATTGTGCTTTCTTTGACTCTGCTGCATGTGTGTGTCCAGGTGGGAGAGTCCTTCGGTCCTGTTCGGGCTCTGGCTGACGGTAAACCCGGAGAACTCTTTGTTGGAACCACCAAGAATGCAATCATCAGAGCTGCCTTCCCTGATACATTAACGCCTATTGTGCAGGTACGCACTGATAACATTCACAGGCTGACTACTAACAAATATTTTAACTTTTTGCATGCTGCATTTTAAATAAGAAATGATATGATGTGCTACAGGGTCACACCGATGAGCTGTGGGGTCTGGACATCCATCCCACCATGGAGCAGTTTGTTACCTGCTCACAGGACAAACAAGTTCACCTCTGGGATGCCCACTCCCACCAGCCCCTGTGGAGCAAGACCATCGAGGTGAGGAAGATTTTTGTGGATGAAGACGGCGTTAAGGACTGAGCTTCCCATTTAATCATAAGTACTAAATAACAAGTATGTCGTCTTCTCTGTGCTTTAGGATCCAGGGAGGTCTGCAGGCTTCCATCCCAGCGGGGCTGTTCTGGCTGTGGGGACCATGACTGGAAAGTGAGCTTACAGCTGAAACGAGTTAAAATTCAGAAACTGAGCATTGACAAACATCGATCTCCTTTAATGCTGGAGATATTAAATCCTTCCTATTTGGATCCTCGTGACGTGCATTTTCCCAAATCTCTGCCTTGTGTGTTGCAGGTGGTTGGTGCTGGACACTGACACCCGGGATCTTGTTTCTATGCACACAGATGGCAATGAGATCATTTCCAATGTCAAGTACTCTCCGGGTAAAACATCATCTGCTCACCTCACTGACACAGATCCATAAAATGTTCAAGTTCAGACAAAATTTCATATTTCAGTTGATTGATTTTCTGCTAACTTCACTTTGTGTCTGCAGACGGCAACTTCCTGGCTGTGGCTTCCCATGATAACTTTGTTTACATCTATGCTGTAACTGAAAACGGCCGAAAGTACAGCCGTGTGGGGAAATGCACTGTAAGTAGATGCTCACACGGAGCGCCAGTTGTAAATGTCTGTTTGTAAATGAATTCCCATTCTTACAGTG